CATTGAGACCATGGGAGGTTACTGCGGCTACCTGGCCAACATGGGGGGGCTTGCAGCCGGAGCTGATGCCGCCTACATTTTTGAAGAGCCATTTGATATCAGAGATCTGCAGGTACGTAATTGGGGTCAGGCCTCTGTCGGTGCTGTCCACTTCAGTTCGTTCTTTGCTGAATGAAGGCCTGTAGCTGCGTGTGTTTCTTAAGGAACTGGAAGTGGTATCATACAACAAATCTAGTCTTCACACATTTCAGATCATACATCTCACTGGTTCCAGGTCCATTTACTTCCATGTCAGGAGCTCTTTCCAAGGGTGACAATGGATAGATACATGTAAGGGCATCTTTTGTTTCTGAAAACACAAACCTATCTTTTTTTTGTTGTTGTGAATAAATTATTTTGTTGACTGAGTAATGTTTTCCTTAATCCATTTGCAGACATATTCCTGTTTAATGGGATCTAGTACTTTAAGTAGTTTCTCTTAGGCCTTTTGAAACACCTAGCTGTCCCAGGCTTGTGCTGTGCTTGTGGATCTGAGGCTGGAAAGATTTACAGCAGTTAGAATGGCCTTACCAAAGCACTGCTGCCTATTCAAGAGAAGCAGCTATTTTCCATTGCAAGTGTTCAATTTAATTAGGGCAAACACATCCACTGGTGGCTGGAACTGCTGGGGAAAGTAACATGTGCTAAACTATACCTGTGTTGTGGGAGAGGAAAAAAGGTACACATCACCTCATAGAAAACTGCAGGAGCCAAACTTACTGCTTCTCTGCTCTGTGATTTTTTAAAAAGAAAAAAAGAAGTTTAACCATTTTTGTAGATCAATTTTAGGTTCACAGCAAAATTAAGTGGACAGAACAGAGATTTCCCATATGCCCCCAGCCCTCATGCACACTCTCTGAGCCCCCCGCCCCCCCAACCAGAGTGGTACGTGTTACTGTAGATAGACCTCCATGGACACAGCACCACCCAGAGCCCACAGACTGTGTGCACACTCACTGGGTTTTGCCACAACTTCCTTTTTAAAAAAAGCATGCTTTGCCAGAGGTCATATGTACTTGTCAGAGACAGAAAGATGGAAAGAGAAAACTCTTCAGGGGCAGAAGTGAGGGTCATGCCACAATCCTGTCTCCATTTTTACTTTCAGGATTTTGGGCTCGTACACATGTGTACCAGGCATGTTTCTCAAGAAACCAGTCCAGGACTCAAACTGCAAAGTAGGCCATATGGAGTCCAGCCATCTTAATCATCATGCCACCGGCTGGCCCCACGGCATTTGAACTTTAGGTCTCTGATGCCCGATCTGTTATCAAACCGGCAAGAGAGGAGGTCTCTAGTGCTCAGCATCCTGTATTGCTTCGAGGTGAAGGGCTGCTTCAGTCAAGCCCAGCTTCCAGTCTCAGATCCCTCGCCAGCCCAAGCACTGGCTAAGGAAGGAGCAGGTGTTGAGGGAACAAAAGGTAGTTGTGGACTGGAGGGGAGACTGGGACAGGCCTGTGTTGCTGCCTAGTTTCTGTCCCTCTCAGGTGACCCACCTGGATCCTGGCATGGACTCTGTAACACTGACAGGCTGCTAAGCCCCATGTAGAACAGGTGTCAGCAGCTAGGTTACAACTTTAGTGACTGACTTTTCACTGTTACGTGGCTGTTTCTGATCTAGATAAACCAAGTGAAAACACCCCTGGTGTTACGTATCTGTGATAAGGATGCATAAGCTATGAATCGTTTCACATATTGAAGCAATTTTTATACTTCAAAAATCTACCTAAGATAATGGCTCTCAGCACAGTGCAGATGGTGCAGAAATTAAATATGACTGAGAATTGATAGAATGTTAAAATCTTGATTTTGTTTTTTTCTTTTTTAGGATGACTCATTACAAAATTACCTCCCTTTTGAGGTCCTCCTAACATGAAAATAGGGTGTTTCTACACATTCCTTCTTTGAAGATGGTTTTCTTTTCCTTACACAATTTGTGTAAGGGATGAGTCTGTGTTTGCCTTGATCAGAATATGTTCATGAGTATATAATCCGTTTAAGGAACTCAAGAGAAGAGATAAGGAGCAGTAAATATATGTCTATGCATTAGGCAGACACAGAATAAATGGATGTTTTAAGACGGAAACCAATCTATCTTGGAAAGCATTTCTTGGGGAGTTAGGAGTTCACTAAGTATGCCACTCCCCCCCCCCATTATGTACTGCATAATTTTGCTTCGTTCTTGTTGCTGTGGTCATTGTCTACCTGACACATCCTTAGTTGTCTATTGTCTCCCACAAACACATAGCTGTAGGAGCAGCTGCCTTCTCTGCTTCATTAAGTCACTCCGGCAGTTAGAACAGTATAGGACTAGACACACAGTAGATGCTTAATAAGTCTGTTGTCTGATTAATAACAAAATACTCTTTTCTAGTCTAATGTGGAGCACCTGACAGAGAAAATGAAGACCTCCATTCAAAGAGGCCTTGTGCTCAGGTAAAGGGCAGTTATTTCTAATCTCATTTGCACTTTAGACCTTCCTAGCATCTAGAACCTGATAAGCAATCATTTCCTTGCCATGAGACCTACTGACAGAACACAGGACTATGTTGTTAAAAACTGGCTCTCATTTACTAACTCAAAGGGTGATTTTTTATTTAGTTTTGTTTTGGTCTGTTACTTATTAAAGATAACTTCCAATCAGTTCTTTAAGCCCCGACCTTCCTGAAGAAAGGGATTATAAAGTATAGACGGGAGGGAGGGCTTCACAACCTGACCATGGCTGTGGACCGCAGCCCAGGGAGCCCGTGTCCCCTTAGCAGATTGACTCCAGCAGGACCCGTCATCAGGAAGCCCTGCCTACTGCATGGTACATAAGCATGGCTGCTTTGCATTCGTTTCAGAAATGAGAGCTGCAGTGAGAACTACACCACCGACTTCATCTACCAGCTCTATTCAGAAGAAGGCAAAGGCGTGTTTGACTGTAGGAAGAACGTGCTGGGCCACATGCAGCAGGTAGAGCCGACTTCCTCCCTGACCCTGGGTCTTCCCCTCCAGTCCAACAAAACAGAAATGAAGCCATGATTATGTCAAAAAAATTTAGAGTCATTTCTAATTTTAGCCATTTTGAGAAAAAAAAAAAAGGTGTATTTATAATTAAATCTCAAGATGACTGAAAATAACATCTGAACTTTTAAGTCCTATCAAATATCGCCAGCTTTAGGATCCTGTCTCTCAGCTGTGGTATTTTGAGTGTATGGGAATTTTATGGGAAACTATCAACTTTGATGTAGTGACATCAGGCAATTGGAAATATTTAATTCAAATGAAATGCTTCATTAAAGGGCTTAGTAGGAGTCAAAACAGAAATGTCAGACAGGTGGTGCTTTTTTGAGATCTTCATGCAATCAGGCTGATCTGGAAAGTCAGAGAGCACAGCCCTGTTGAAGGGGAGCTGAGAAGTGGTAGTGTGGGGTCCTAGGGCTCCCAGGTCTGTCCCCTTTTCATTGTTACCTCCTGTTCCATGGACTTTATCGAACTTTAAACAAGGATTCACTAGTTTGTATCAAAGGGTTCATGAATCCCATGAAGTTTCATGACGAATTAGGAGGCATATGTGGGTTGTTGTAAAGGTAAGGCCACAGTCGATGTTTAAAGGAAACTGTGACACATCCCACCCCAAAATAAGTTTAAGAAATCCTGATATAAGATTCTAAAATAGGGACCAGCAGATGGTGTTAATGGTTACATCGCCAAACTCCCACATAGTTGACCATGGTTTCAGCTTGAAACTCATGCTGGGCATGTGTACGTGAGAGCCCAAGATCTCTAGAGGAGAATGGAGAAGGGATTGTGGTATGGCCATCCCCCTGAGGATGATTTCTTGCTTTCTGTCTGTCTTGCCAGCAAGTGCATGTGCCCCATAGCAAAAATATCTTAAAAAAAAAAGATTCTAAAATAGTAAGGATTGTTAGTTGATCTATCCGTTGATTAAAACCCTCACCTCACAAGGGAAAGCACTAAGAATCTGAATTCAAGCTGTAGGGATCGCAAATTGGTATTGTTTTGTTGACCCAATTATTTATGGTAAAGAAATATGCAAAAAAACAAACAAAACTGTATTTGTAGTGTGTGGTACAAGTTTGTGTATGGATTTTGTTAAAAATCATTTCTATTGAAACCAGTAGATGGCGTAATGGTTATGTTGCTGGACTCCCACATAGTCAACCATGATTCAAGTCCTGGACCCAACAGCTTAAATTGATGCTGGGCGCGTATGTGCGCATGCCTAAAGTCCCGAGAGGAGAATGGGGGAGAAGAGATTGTGGTGTGGCCATCACCTCTTGGAGAGAAGTAATTTCTCTTTCTGTCTCTCTGTTTCTGTCTCTCCAGTGAGCACACATGCCCTATAGGAAAATACAAAAACAAAAACAAAACAACCCCCCCCCCCAAAAAAAAAAAAAGGAAAATCACTTCTGTCATCTTTTTAAAGACAGTTGGGAAAAATATTGTCAAGTAACTAATATTTCACCTACTTTAACCACCAACAGGGTGGGGCACCATCTCCGTTTGACAGAAACTTTGGAACCAAAATCTCTGCCAGAGCTATGGAGTGGATCACCACAAAACTGAGAGAAGCCCAGGGCAAAGGTAGGAGGTCCTAGGGGAGGACGGCTTCAGCACTGAGAGGCAAGCTGCCTGGCTGGGTGGAGCACCGTTATGTGAAAGAGCATGTTCCTTCTTTTCTGAATTCAGCATCAAGCTGTTTTACTCTTATTTCTGAATGTTGCTATTTCATTACTTAAAAAAGTTATAACTAAATATCATTAATAAGCTTTATCCCTATTTATGAATGATGGGAGGCATTCAAATAATTTAGTAGTGTTCTTAATCTTTATTAGCCAAAAAATTGCTGTGCACATGTTGGACTCTTAGCAAGATTGCAAAATGTGACTTTTATTTGCTCTATTTTTTTTTTTTTTACTACATGGAACTCTTTGGCTGTCTTAAGATATGTATGACTTACTCATTGGTTTATGCACAACTTCTTAAAGGATTGGGAGGTATATAGACTATTTTTCTCCCCCAAGAGCTAACTAAGCAGCATCAACATTTCACTCCCTCCCCACCAGAAGTAACTTCAGGATCTTGTGATAAGTGTTCCCTTGCTTGCTTTTAGAAGCCATTCCCTATGTCTTCCATGACCCTGTTCTTAGCTGGATCAATCTTTGGAGTTCGAGGGGAGGCCTGTAGTGTGCTTCCCTGTGCTGACCGCCTTCCTAAAGCTTGAGGGAGCTCAGCTTGATCATCTGCTGACCCTGGCCTTGGGCGTCCAGTGCTTGCTGACAGTGCTGTGGTGCCGAGGTCCCAGCACATGCATGGGCTTCGCAGGATTAGTTCTCCACACTTTTCACCAATCCATCCCATGGTCACCTGCAGGGGGTACGGCTTCCTGCCTCTCTCTTCTGGACACACGTGAATACCCTGACTTTGTAACTGTTGCCTATTTGGTGGTGAGAGTCTCCTTGTGGCTGTTTCAGAGGCTACACTTCATAAAAACAAGGGAAATGGCAGGTTCGTGTTTTTTGTGAATTGTCCAAGCATTTTGCCTAGTTTTCTAGTGGCTGGTAATTATGTTTGTTGTGTTTTACACGTTAAAAAAAATATAGCTGTATTTTTATTCTGAGTCTCTCGCCAAACACATACTGCGAGAATTTTTCTTTCATCTTGTGATGTCCACACTCATTTTCCGTAAGGCATCTTCTAACAAAATCCTCTTAATTTTAATGTAGCCAGTTAACCAACTATTGTCTTATGGCTTGCATTTTTTTGGTGTTATTAAAATATCCTCTTTTGGGACCAGCAGTTAGCGTAATGGCTATGTCGCTGGACTCCCACATAGTCGACCGTGGTTTGAGTCTCAAACCCAGTGGCTTAAACTCACGCCAGGCACGTGTGCGTGCGTGCCCAAGATCCCGAGAGGAGAATGGAGAAGGGATTGCAGCGTGGCCATCCCCCCCCCCGGGGGTGATTTCTCGCTGTCTCTCTGTCTCTGTCTTTCTGGTGAGCTCACGCGCCCTATAGCAAAAACCTCTCAAAAAAATCCTCTTTTTGCAGTTAGTTCTTTTTTTTCTTTCTTTGGAGAGTTTTTTGCTATAGGGTAGGTGCGCTCACCAGACAGAGAGACAGAGAGACAGAAAGTGAGAAATCACCCCCCAGAGGGGATGGCCACGCTGCAATCCCTTCTCCATTCTCCTCTCGGGATCTTGGGCACGCACGCACACGTGCCTGGCGTGAGTTTAAGCCACCGGGTCCGGGACTCGAACCACGGTCGACTATGTGGGAGTCCAGCGACATAGCCATTACGCTAACTGCTGGTCCCTACGGTTAGTTCTTTAATCCACTTGACATGATGTTTAAGGTCTAATTTCACTTTGTAGCTAATTTGGGTGTCATTTATTGAAAAAGAAACGTTTTTCCCTTCTGCAATATAATTTTCATCCTAGAAACTTCAATATCAATTCATTGGCAGTCAGTCTGACAAATAATCATGATACCTGGCAGGGCAAGCCTTCCACTTGGACTTTCTTGTGTTTTTTTGCTGTCCTTAACCTTTCATACCCTTTTGTGCCACCAACAGAAATAGAATCTAATTTTCAAGGGCTACCAAAATCCCGTTTATCTTTTCTTTTGCTAGGGAGAGAGAGTTGCATTTAATAAATTATTTTGGGGAAAGAATTGACATTTTTGTAATACTTAATTTTCTAATTGATGAATGTTGCGTCTCATATATATTTTGTCCTTTGGTTACCTCTTTATCAAAGCATTGTTTTTTTTTCCCCATAAAGATCTTGCATATCTTTTGGTAGATATAATCTTAGATTCTCAATTTTAAAAATAGATTGTAAATGGTATGTTTAAAAATTGCTGGTGTATAGAAATACAAACAACCCAATATAATTAATTTTTGTAAACGGATCTTGCAATTAATTAAATTTTACACACTTAATTCTATTATTTATAGATTTTTGTTTTTTACATATACACTCATATCATCTCTATATCAGGCCTTATTATTTTTCATTCCTTGATTTTTCACTTTCCTTTTGTGGATGTTTGTGGGTCACTGCAGCAGCTAGTGTCTCTAGCAAACCCTGTAGAGATTCACTGACTTTAGCTCCAAGGTGGGAAAAGGCAATAATTTCACTGTCTCATGACAAACATTCTTTTGAAGTCTTTCTTGCAATCGAGAACAGTCATAGATTCATTATTTGATAAGTATCTTTTTAATCAAAAAAGAATACTGTAATTTATCATTTTTTGGGGCACCAAATGACATGATTATTATAGTCTTCTCCATTAATCTGTTAACACAGTAAATTACTTTCACTGACACTCTAAAGTGAAGACCAGCCTTGAGTTCCTGGGACAAAATCAACTGTCCTAACCTGGTGTTTCCTTCTCTGCTAGTTATGATCTGTAGATTTCTTTTTTTAAGTTTCCTATCTTTTTTTCCTAGTTACATGTGGACTATAATTCTTCTGAAGCATTTTTAAAAAGTTAATTAATTTACATTCATTCTCTGATCTGCAGATTTTGTGTGCAGGCTTTTGGCTTCAGTGATTGTGAGCATTTGCTAGGATTTTCCCCTCTAATACTGCTCTTGTCAGGTGTTGGGGTTGAGCAGGTGTCAGCTGAGGGGATGCCCCTCAGAAATCATTTGTACAAGGTGGGAAAGTTTTGTTTTGCTTTTCAGATTCTTGGTAGGTCCTTCCTGTGAACTTTCCATCCAAATCTCCAGTTTCCTTTCAAGAAAGATTTGACTGCTAAAATAATTTTGCTATTCACACTTGTAAAACTATTTGTTTCCTCTTCAGTTTTCAAGTTACACTTTCTAAAAAATGTTTGGTTCATCTAAATTTTCAAAGCCATTGGAATGAAATTTTTCATGCACCTGTTTTAATTTTAATGCCAGTAATATGTGTATTTCCCATTCCTTCCTGATATCAGCTACTTGTGCCAATATCTATCTCAACTTGCTCAGTTTTCTTGATCAACATACCAGGTTTGTGTTTTTATTAGGGCAAAGCATACAAGAGAGGTCTTAAAAAGTTCATGGGAAATGCCTATTTTGAAAAAACTGCATGCATGAATTTTCTAAATTTTCTTATACCAAAATGAATTCCCACTTTGATTTTTCTAAACATTTTGATGTATCCTTATAAAATTTCCACTGTCTGTTAGTCTACAAAAACAGTGATGTTAATAGTTTCAACCTAATTTTAGTCCTTCCAAAAAACTGACTTTGGCTCTCCTTGTTATTAATCGTTTGTTTTCTACATCAACTACTTTCTGTGTTTTCCTTCTTTTCCTTATTTGGATGCTTTTCTCATTAACTTTCAGCTTCTTGTAGTGAGTACATCATGATATGCATAAGTTTCTTATAGTTAACTCAAGTCTGTCTTTCTGCACTCAATTTTCCTAGTAGTATCTAATGAAATATTTCATCACCACTATTAAAAAAAAAAAAAAAGAAAGAAAGTGACTGTATGAAACAAGGGAAATAGCAGCAGGAGCCTCTCTTCTCGCCAAATCCTGAGAAGCCTGATAGGCCACAGCTCTGAGTGCAGAGCTACACTGGGAGTGTGAGGGCCCTGGCCTTCTGAACACTGGTCTTGTGATGAGAGCTGGTTCTCAGATGCAATCCATATGCCCGAGAACTGCCAGGTGTACTTGTCAGAACTGGGAATCCCTAGCTCCCCTCAGAGTGGTTCTAGGAGCCTCAACTCCTCTCTCACCAGGCAGTCTTGCGCCTTGAAGATGGTTAACTGTCCTCGTCTCACCTTTCCCACCTTGATATGACTTTGTATCTACCTTTTTCAATATAAGTCATTAGTTCTTGGATCTGTTTTTCTAAACTTTTATAGGAAGAAAATTTGTTAATGATGACTCCATTTGTGTGCTGGGAATAAGCAAAAGAACCCTCCTTTTCCAACCTGTAGCAGAGCTGAAGAAGGAAACGGATTTTGAGTAAGTCAGTGAAATCCTTGTTAGGTCTAAATCTCATCACCATTAGAAGGAAGGAACCATGGGAGTCATGAGGACCGGGGCCTGGAGCTGCCTCAGAAACTGTGAGCAACTCACGCACGCTAAGGAGCACGTCAGCTTTTCTAGAGCCAAGTTAAGGCATACAAGACTTTCAGAAGTAGAGTTTCTAGAAATATAAAGTTTCATTTGACCTATGAAAATTATCATCTAGAGCTTATTCGGTCAGCTCCCCACAAACCCTATCTTCTCTGGCAAGACTGTTTCCTGCTGGTCCAGCAGGTCAGTGCAGCAGCCAGAAGTCACAGCAGAGGGTACTTACTGCTGTTCTTTCTTCTTCATAGGCACAGAATTCCCAAAGAACAGTGGTGGCTGAAACTGCGGCCCCTCATGAAGATCCTGGCCAAGTACAAGGCTAGCTACGACGTGTCTGACTCGGGCCAGCTGGAGCATGTGCATCCCAGCAGCGACCACGGAGAGCCTGCGGCCATCTGAGCTCCTCGTGCCTGCCGGCCACAGCAGACCACACGCGGGCCCAGGGAGGCCTGGAACTTACTGTGGACCGTCCTGTTCATAACATTTAAGTTATTTATCAGCACTTTACGCAAGTATTGTTGACCAAGTATTGCTGACGTTAATACCTAATCAGTGAGCACTGTCACTGATGTCATTCCTATCCCCCATCAGACCCTACAGACCTGTCTCATCTCGGTGAGAGATGCCCACTGTGCCTTGTATTCATCTCGTGCTTTGACATGTGCGTATCTAGGAGAATTAAACATTGTTTAAGTCGCCAGTAGGACTCAGTGCTTTTATTTTTTATATAGGATTTAAAATGTCAGACACCATGAGTAGCTGCCAAAGGTTTTCGCGGCATTCTGTGGGCAGAAATTGGCAACATTATTTTAATTTATAATTTTTAAATATTTTTTTAGTTTTTGCTAGAGGGTGGGTGCACTCACCAAAGAGACAGAGAGAGAGAACTCACTCCCAGGGGGGCTGACCACACTGTAATCTCTTCTCTTCCACTGTCGTCTTGGGATTTTGAGAGCATACATGCACATGTGCCTGGCATGATTTTCAAGCCACCGAGTCCAGGACTCAAACCGTGCAGTCAGTCACATGGGATCTGTTACCTTAACCTCCATGCCACTTGTTGGCCCTCAGAAAAAATATTTTTATAGGGATCACTGAAAGATGTGAGTAAAAGTCTACAGGAGAGAAAAAAGAAAATGCTGACATATGGTAAATACATAACATTAAGTGAACATGGGATCCCATCAGCTCCTGCTGGGCTGGGACCCAGTACTATTCACATCCACTTTTAAAAATGAGATGAGATTTAGACTTCAGAATAAAAAAATGTGAGCATGTGCCTCAAGGATTAGGGAATCTTACACACTCTTGACTTCAATCTTATCTGCATACTGGAAATCCCACCAGGTGAATTTTCAAAACATTCTGATGCCTAGACCCTCTTTCAGACCAAGTCTAGTCCTTGCAGGCCTTGCTAGCACACTTGAAGGTTCTCAGTGCACGCACCCAGGGACAACAGTAGCATTAGGCATTAGCCTGTCATGCTAAGGGGTCCACATTCTACAGGGAAAAGTGGTTCTGCCTCTCAGATCTAGTCTCCAAAGTAACACCCAGATATCTGCACACCAGAAACAGGGAAGAGTTGCACAGAAAAATGGTGGATGATTAAAAATACTGCTAAGTTCTGTTCGGGAAATCCAAGGATGGAGCTCGTAGTAAGAAGGCTCAAGATAAACTCACATTAATGAACTGAATTACATCATTCCTAGTTCCAATACTGATTTCCACTGAGCAGCTCTGTCTGGCTCGTACTCATTAGGGAGTCTTTCCCACAGGTCCCTGATGTAATCACATATTTTATGAATCAAGGTAGGCTCGCCGGAACACACTTTTTACTTTTCCTGTTACTCATTCGTTTTCTAGTAAAGATCCTCAGGTATTACTTCAGCAAAACGTCATTAAAAGTAAGACGAATGTACAGGAGTGCAGACTTGCCTTTTATTTTTTAATTTTTGAAATAGATGTACTAAGACTAATAAGATAAAATATGCATTTATGTTGCTTTAAAATTCTAATCCATCTTTGGCATTTAATACATGATTATGTCAATTAATTTCTTCATGATCACAACATTCCCTTCTTCAATATAGAACAGTTCTGACTTGCTAGTGAAAATCTTTGGGAAAATTTTAAGACTGATGTAATAAAGATTTTTGAAAAAAGCACTTACATTTCTGACCTTCCAAATTAGCTCAGAGACTTAATGTTTAGGAGCCTATATGTATTCAGATTCAGCTAAGTTACTAAGCACAGTCAGAAATACTCATGACCAGTTATTTTATTATCCATGATGGGTCCTTTGCAATCTTTGCATTCTCAGGTCCAAGTAGAGCCAAACCATGCGTGCTCTTCCCAACACCGAGGTACCTGGAAGGAAGACAGACAGCAAATCAGGGCCATTCTTTATGTTAAAGAATTTCTGTAGGTAAACAGTTTTCTCACTCCTGACTCTCATTCTCTCCCTGAGCAGGGAGCCTCACTACACTCACTCACTTGTTGCTCACAGCGGTGAGTTTGTCGTGGCTGACAGCGAAGAGCTGCTCCCTGTGCACCTGCTTCATCTCATCCGACAGGCCGTACAGGAAGTGGTCCATTCCTACAAGTTAAACCACAGGTACACATGCAGCGGCACACTCCGACTCCATCCATCTCACTGAGAGGCTGACACTGTCACACGTCCCTTCACGGACATATTTCAACTAAGGGAGGTGTAAATGAAGCTTCATGATCAAACTTTGACCCCTTACACCAACCTCCACCCCGAGTCTGGAAAACACATCTCCCACCAATTTCCACTTTGGGAGTGAGGGTAAGGATGCTGTCAGGGCCATGCAAGGCTGATCACACTTGAGTAAAACCTCAGTTTTACATAGTGAGATGGCCATTCTCATTCCATGTCAAGATGTCCTCCTTCAAACCTGCCTGGCAGGCCAGACATTTAACCCTAGTGGTATCAGATCATTCAAGTTCTGAAATGATACAATTCAATTTTTGAAATAGCAAATATCAAGGCATTCTTGCCCAGGTATCTAGAAACATTATTTCATTCTGTGGGCAGAAATTGGCAACATTATTTTAATTTATAATTTTTAAATATTTTTTTAGTTTTTGCTAGAGGGTGGGTGCACTCACCAAAGAGACAGAGAGAGAGAACTCACTCCCAGGGGGGCTGACCACACTGTAATCTCTTCTCTTCCACTGTCGTCTTGGGATTTTGAGAGCATACATGCACATGTGCCTGGCATGATTTTCAAGCCACCGAGTCCAGGACTCAAACCGTGCAGTCAGTCACATGGGATCTGTTACCTTAACCTCCATGCCACTTGTTGGCCCTCAGAAAAAATATTTTTATAGGGATCACTGAAAGATGTGAGTAAAAGTCTACAGGAGAGAAAAAAGAAAATGCTGACATATGGTAAATACATAACATTAAGTGAACATGGGATCCCATCAGCTCCTGCTGGGCTGGGACCCAGTACTATTCACATCCACTTTTAAAAATGAGATGAGATTTAGACTTCAGAATAAAAAAATGTGAGCATGTGCCTCAAGGATTAGGGAATCTTACACACTCTTGACTTCAATCTTATCTGCATACTGGAAATCCCACCAGGTGAATTTTCAAAACATTCTGATGCCTAGACCCTCTTTCAGACCAAGTCTAGTCCTTGCAGGCCTTGCTAGCACACTTGAAGGTTCTCAGTGCACGCACCCAGGGACAACAGTAGCATTAGGCATTAGCCTGTCATGCTAAGGGGTCCACATTCTACAGGGAAAAGTGGTTCTGCCTCTCAGATCTAGTCTCCAAAGTAACACCCAGATATCTGCACACCAGAAACAGGGAAGAGTTGCACAGAAAAATGGTGGATGATTAAAAATACTGCTAAGTTCTGTTCGGGAAATCCAAGGATGGAGCTCGTAGTAAGAAGGCTCAAGATAAACTCACATTAATGAACTGAATTACATCATTCCTAGTTCCAATACTGATTTCCACTGAGCAGCTCTGTCTGGCTCGTACTCATTAGGGAGTCTTTCCCACAGGTCCCTGATGTAATCACATATTTTATGAATCAAGGTAGGCTCGCCGGAACACACTTTTTACTTTTCCTGTTACTCATTCGTTTTCTAGTAAAGATCCTCAGGTATTACTTCAGCAAAACGTCATTAAAAGTAAGACGAATGTACAGGAGTGCAGACTTGCCTTTTATTTTTTAATTTTTGAAATAGATGTACTAAGACTAATAAGATAAAATATGCATTTATGTTGCTTTAAAATTCTAATCCATCTTTGGCATTTAATACATGATTATGTCAATTAATTTCTTCATGATCACAACATTCCCTTCTTCAATATAGAACAGTTCTGACTTGCTAGTGAAAATCTTTGGGAAAATTTTAAGACTGATGTAATAAAGATTTTTGAAAAAAGCACTTACATTTCTGACCTTCCAAATTAGCTCAGAGACTTAATGTTTAGGAGCCTATATGTATTCAGATTCAGCTAAGTTACTAAGCACAGTCAGAAATACTCATGACCAGTTATTTTATTATCCATGATGGGTCCTTTGCAATCTTTGCATTCTCAGGTCCAAGTAGAGCCAAACCATGCGTGCTCTTCCCAACACCGAGGTACCTGGAAGGAAGACAGACAGCAAATCAGGGCCATTCTTTATGTTAAAGAATTTCTGTAGGTAAACAGTTTTCTCACTCCTGACTCTCATTCTCTCCCTGAGCAGGGAGCCTCACTACACTCACTCACTTGTTGCTCACAGCGGTGAGTTTGTCGTGGCTGACAGCGAAGAGCTGCTCCCTGTGCACCTGCTTCATCTCATCCGACAGGCCGTACAGGAAGTGGTCCATTCCTACAAGTTAAACCACAGGTACACATGCAGCGGCACACTCCGACTCCATCCATCTCACTGAGAGGCTGACACTGTCACACGTCCCTTCACGGACATATTTCAACTAAGGGAGGTGTAAATGAAGCTTCATGATCAAACTTTGACCCCTTACACCAACCTCCACCCCGAGTCTGGAAAACACATCTCCCACCAATTTCCACTTTGGGAGTGAGGGTAAGGATGCTGTCAGGGCCATGCAAGGCTGATCACACTTGAGTAAAACCTCAGTTTTACATAGTGAGATGGCCATTCTCATTCCATGTCAAGATGTCCTCCTTCAAACCTGCCTGGCAGGCCAGACATTTAACCCTAGTGGTATCAGATCATTCAAGTTCTGAAATGATACAATTCAATTTTTGAAATAGCAAATATCAAGGCATTCTTGCCCAGGTATCTAGAAACATTATTTCAAGGTTAGTATTTAAGTTGTCAAATATGAAAATTGTATTACAAAGGGAAGGCAGGAAGATGGGGAGGAACAGAAATAGCTCGCCGCTTCTGTCCACATATGTAAGAAGGCAGGTAACTCAGAAACTGCGGGGCTTGGGGCGCTCCGTCTGGTAGCAGCACACATCAGGCCTTATCATACTCAAAATACCTTTGTCTGAAGGAGCAACGGGGGCATCTACAGCAGAGAAAACAGAAAGTTTCGCCTCATCAATGTCCTGCTGTGTGAATTTTCCAGACTTAGCCCAGTCGACAGCCTTTGCAAAAGATTGGAGTGTTTCTATTGAATTTGGATCCCTAGGAAACCCAAGCATATTACCAATGGAAAAATTAGTAACATTCATGTGTGGACTGAACAGTTCTTCAACGCTCTATTTGGTAACAGCTCTACTTTAACACTTCACGGTTCAGACAGCCCATTGCAAGGTTCTTACTCTGCAGAAACCAAAAAAGGACCACATATGCCCTTCGACATACCCTCCCCCTCTAGTAGACACGTAGCCTATCTGCCCAATTGCCACCTATTATTTAAGGGCACCTCCCGGTGATTTCATCAGGAGGCGAAGTCATGTTGGAGGAGGGAAGGTGAAGTGATATAAAATATAAGACTCATGTGGAAAGGAAAGAAAGATTAAACAAAAACCCCCACTCTCCTAGACATACCTGGAGTATCGAGAAATTACCTAGAGGTGGGGCAGTTCTGAGATCCTTCCCCTGGCCTACATGGAAAGTGCTACTGGCCCATTATGTGCACTGACTCAGTACTGGACACACCTCATTGTGAACTGCTTCGCCGTCCTTCCCTAAACACACCTGGTGTGTGTCACCGTCTTTGAAGTAGTGGGGAGCAAGAGAGAATTACGTCTGAATAGCAACAAATAACCTGCTTTTTTCTTAAGGTATCAAAATGGCTGTCTTCAGGTAGTGGGGCCACAGAAAATTAAGAATAAATAAAAGGCTAACAGTCATATGTCTATGAAAGCCTAGTAACATTAGGTCTCTAAAATAAGTTCGGAAAGCTCTCAGACTGTATTCTACCTAAACATACTAGTTATCAAACCAGGATTTATTTAAGGCAAATGTTTCCTGTTATACTGTATTCGCTAATCCGGCAACAGAAAGGATATTGCAGGGTGTGGTTAAGTGTCCAGGAAGTGGGAGGAAAAGTGGAAACCACTTTTCTTTTCCAAAGTTCACATCAATATATAAAGTAATGACATCTGATAATAGAACCAACGACTGTTAGTAAGATGATGTGTATGAAAGAAAAACTCACCTGGGACCAGCAGTTAGCATAATGGCTATGTCGCTGGACTCCCATGTAATTGACCGTGGTTCGAGTCCCAGCAGCTTAAACTCATGCCAGGGGCGTGTGAGTGCGTGCCCAAGATCCCAAAAGTAGAATGAAGGAGAAGGGATTGCTGCATAGCCCCCCCCACCCCGGGTGTGATTTCTCACTTTCTGTCTCCCTGTCTCTGTCTTTCTGGCAAGTGCATGCACCCTACAGCAAAAACTTCTCTAAAAAAAGAAAAAAAGAAAAAAAGAAAAAAGAAAAACTCACCTGTAGGAGTAAAAAGTAAAAATTCCACTGTGGCTGAGTTTAGCTCCTCCACCGTAAGCACCCCCTTTTTCTCGAATTTCTGTATGCAAGAATTTAGCAGTCATCAAACGTGCAAGGATCTTAAGACTGAAATTATTAAAAAATGCAAGTTAAAAACAATGGAAATTGTTTATATATA